CTATAAAGTAGAATTCACTGAAATCATTGAATATGTGTATTTATTTGATCATCACTAAAAAAGGAACAATAATCTGCGTATTTACACAAATATAAAAATTTTACGCAAGTATCATGGAAGGTGAACAAATTAACCAAGTTTTAAAGATTGACATGGGATATATATTGATAATCGAGTAAGACATAGCAAAGGTTTAGGTTACAACATAAAAATGTTTGTAATTGTAAAAGAAAAAATTGATGGAGGCTCCGTATAAAGTTAGCTTGGCATTATGCATCGTAAAATTGATAATCCATTCGACTCAGGTTTGTAATAATTTGGTCGTATGATAGTATATATGAAATCTGTTCAAAATAATGTCATCATATAAATAAAACATTTATATGTGTTCTTGTAGGAATTTCCTTCTTCCTGAACATAAGATTTGATAACATAAACTAGCCTAGACATATAGTCTAAAGCATTTTTGGAAATTCACTAAAATTTCACCCAAAATCATATTATTTTTGAAGTAGAAAGTTTTTTGGATCGATCATGGAGTGTTCCAGAGAAAAAACTTGATGCTAAAAATGATTTCGTTCTATCATCGATAGTAGATCTAGAAAAATATGCATTGGGTGAAGAATCAGATGATAAACCCTAGATTGAGATGCGATTAAATATTGTATCTAATATATGAGTGGAAAGTTTAGTTTTGTGTCAATTTAGGGTTTATCATCTAACACAAAACAAAAATCTACTTCCGATGAAGTAACATAATCTCTCTATAATACCTGGTACTTCTCAAATCGAAATTTTTCAGTTCTTTTGTTAGTTTGGATTTGTGATTTTCTTCTACTGATTTTTATCTTTTGGTTTCGCTTAATCAAATATATGAAAATAATATTGTGTTGGATTGTTCAATTATATTTCGTGCAATATTACATGTATACAAGACATCACATGACTGACTAGGTCGTGATGGATAAGGGTTGGGACTGCACGGGTAGGGACATGGACGGAACGCGGGTAAGCACTGGGGCATGACGGGTAAGGGCTGGGGCAGGACAGGTAAGGTTTGGGACGGAACGCAAGTAAGAGTTGGGAGGAGACGGGTAAGGGCTTAGACGGGGCATATGGGCTGGGGTAGCGACCGTGTTTGTTAATTGAAAAAAATTGATTGGATGAACTTACAATCTTAAAATATTATTTTTCGTTATTCATATCAGCGCAAGGATAAGAAGTTTTTGAGAAAGAAGAGACTAAGAGATTATGCAAGAGTCTATTAAATAGGAATGAAAATAAGGAGAAAGAACACATAAAAATAAAAATAAAAAAAAAACATCAAGAAATTGAGATTAAACAATATGAGTATACAAGAGAAGAAAAGAAAAAAAAGGGACAGAGATGCTTGTGAAACTACCAAAAAGACACATGGAAAGCAATGGTCTAAAGAGAGCCTTAGTAATGCTCTAAAAGATGAGGAGCGAGGAGACAACTCTAGGCCATAAATTTCATCTTGCATTACAAGGTTGTGCAAAAAATCTTGATCCATTGTTATTTGCTGATCATCTTTCACCTTCGGTTATGTTTGTGAAGAGGTTTATTTACTCATCAAGTGAAACGTGTATGCCAATTATGTTTGATTTGTACACGAAACTAGAAAATTGTAAGTTTGAATTTGATGGTTAAAAAATTAACGATTCGAATTTGATCTRTGTTTTTTTTRCATAAATTYTGTTTTATGTTGAARTKCTTCYCTTATTAGAAGTTGTTTGGCTGCTCATGTAATATATGAAAGCTTGGTGAAATTGTAAATAAGATATTTTCTCTCTGTGATCTATGTTAGTTAATGTCTTTTTAACATTCATTATGGATTCATTATTCGACTGGATTGTTATTATCATATCGGTTCATCGCTAAGCCTCATTCACATTGTCGTGGTCTGAACAGAAGAAAAGTATGGCTGTATGACTATGAGCAAAAAATAAGAAACAAATACCCAACTTAATCATAAAATCATTTAACTTTGAGTAAACCAAGTTACATGTTACACAAATACAAGCAAAAAAAAGGGACGAGTATTGTCGTTCTAAAGATCCACAATAAATAGGATTGATTGCAGATAAATTTAGTCTCTTTGGTTTTTTAAGAATGACGTTACTTATGGTTAGATTTTTTTTGTTAATACATTATAATCCGTAAAATAAATTTATTAAAATAACAAATCTAATAACACTATTAAACGTGTAAACTAAGTTTATGGCATATATATGTATATATCCATGCACGTAATTATTCAAACTTTGAGGTCGAATGTACGACGATACAATGCTTGTGGTCAAAAGTTCAAACGATACAGCTCAAGTGCAACTTCTGAAAAACTTCAAGCACCCAAAATCAAAAAGATTTAAACCATCACAAAAAAGTCCAAGGCAGATCAATGGAATCGAGTCTTGGATCTTATTGAAGAGTAGGGAAGATTTTTTTATGAGATGTAGATAAAGTTTCTACACATAATTTTGATGCATGTTTACAGAGATGAGAAAAATGGTCTTTCTTAATCAAGAAGGTGAGCTATATTGGGCAGTCTTTGTATTTCTTGAGAAGAATGAGCAGAGGCGACAAATTTTTAGGACACTACCAAATGAGAGAAAGAATATTGAATATCTTGAAAGAATGACAGGAATAAAGAACGAAGCATCAAAGTATTTTGAATACATTTTTATATGCTTTAATCTTATTTGACCCAAATAAAAAGAGCTGATAATGTCAACTATTATTGGTCCGGTAAAACTTATAATGATAGTTCATTTCAACATATGGGTACATCAATAGATGCAAACTTTCTCTTTTGCAATGAAATCTCACCTTCTTCTTTTTTGAATCGTATTTGGTTGATTAGGTTAACTTTTGATTATTAATATGCTTTTAGGGATATTTTTGCTCTCTCTTTTTGTAAAGTTTTTTCCATTATTACTATCCCGCGCAGGGCGCGGGTAATACACTAGTAAATGGTGTATTCCTTGTCTATGTATACTTTTATTATTTACTAGGTAAAGAACCCGCATATATGCGGGTATATGATAAAATATTTTATAATCTGTGAAAGAAATCAAATTTGGAAAAGTAAACAAATAAAATCCGATGACAATTAAAAAAAAAATCAAAAACGTTGATACTAAATAAATTTAACAATGATTTTTTTTTATCTTGATTTTTTTTATTTAATTTCCAAGTAAATTTGATCACATTTTTTTCAAAATAATTAGTTTTTTTTTCTATTCATGTCTAAAGTAATTTAGGTTTTTAGTACTTTGTTACTCAATTTTCTAAAAATCTTGTTGAATTAATTTCTCATGTTTCTAATTGTTTTTTAAAATTTTATATATGTTTTATAATCAGTGAAAAAAAAACACCAAAAATCAAAACCACTAATACAATACGAAAGTCTCACCGTCATTTTAATATTATTTTATTTTCAATTAAATTTTTCATATATTTCCAAATATTTTTTTGAATATTCCTGACTAAATTATGTTTTTTTAATGTATCTACTCATATATCTACTTTTTTTTCA